CCAAAAGGCACGCTGCTACTCAGTAGCATTGGGTTCATGTTGTGCAGAACATTTTCTTAGATATGAATATGAACCTTTCTGATCATAATACACTCTAAAATTGATTGCAGCCTTATAGCACATACACAAATACATTCTGTATTCATTTGGATGAATAGTCTATACTGCTACTTATCTGAAATGAAAATTATTAGTCTAAGGTTGCCTGGAAGAAAATCACATTTGTTATTTTTGTTCCTGCATTGCTCATTGCATGTAGCTATTTTCTCTTTTGCTGTATTCTTTTGTCAGAAGTTGCTGATTGAAAGCTGAACATTACAGGGATGCACTTATCTGGTGGTCAGTAGTGTGCTTTCTTGATTCATGCTGTAAACTGACGTGATTGTCTCACACCAGATTCAGAGGGTTGCTGTGTATGTACATCAGCAGTGTGTTATTAGACTGCTGACAAAATGCACTTGTGAAATCAGCCAAGAGCTGGCTGTTGTTTTGTTTGATTCTGACGCTGCCAAGAGTGATCTTAACCCTGTAATGCCCAAATATAGAAAGACATTATAATTTTTTTTTTTGACCTTTCAGATGTTGTTTTAGGGAGCCTCTGGAGCAGAAATGAAAGAGTTTTCACATGTTTTACGTTTTGGTAAGTTTTTAGGAAAATGTAATATTGCAACGTTGGGCATGGGTGGGAGCAGAATTTCTGTATTTCTACACACATTGTCTGAATAAATATGTTGAACAACTAAGGGTTCATTTGCAGGATTGATTGCTTACTTAGCCCTATATCAGTAGGCTATATAGCATTAATAATAATCACACATCAGTCATATTTTTTATGAATAGTCATTTATTAAATATGAATACAATGTCCTAAAAACAGTTCCTATCGTCGGAAAAGCAGAGATGGACGTCATACTTGGTGCATTGTGTGTTTGAACCCTTTACTGCAGTGTCTGCACCGTCCTCTCTTTTTCTTCACTGGAAAATGTGCCATTAGGTCCTTGCGTACATCCAGTGGAGGTTGTGATCTCTTGGATGGGGCCCCGTTTGGTGGACTCCCATCACCTGAGGTTGGTCTCTTCTGAGCATTCAACAGGCTCCTTGATGTCACTGTCGCTGCTGGGCTCCCGTTGCCTGAAGATGGTTGACCTCTCTTTGGTGTTTTCAGAGGAGTTGTGTTCACCTGATTATAACATAATCAATCAAGATACATGTCAAAAATACATTAGGATACAAGTCAAAAATATTACAGTGAAATATAAAAAAATATTACAAACGGCAAATAGCAGAAATGCATTCCTACCAGGATGAGAGAGGATGGTAGATCTGCCTGAAGCTGTCTCCTGTTCAGGATCTCCTGCTTTGGCATCTTTAGAGCTTTGCACTCCCGCTTGTAGAGGAACCAGGCGTTGATCACAGCAAGGATGATGGTGTGCCAGAAGATGCACGTACCAGCGTCAGGATTTCATGGGGAACTTGTATTTGGCCGTAAACGAGTCCAACAAATCCATACCTCCCATTTAATTGTTGTAAGTACCCACAATGTAAGATCTCTCAACTTCTACGTAGGTTTTGTTGGCTTTGTCCCAGCGTTGAATTCTCTGCACAGGGTCCAGCAAAGGATGACACAAGTGTGACCGCTCTGCTGTCATACTATTTGACAGCACAGATGTTGTGGTTGGCCTCCACTCGGATGTCAAAGCTTCCTCTCTCTTTTTTCTTCAAGCTCTTCTCCTCTTCAAGGTTACAGTTGGTAAGCGCACCTGCCTGGCTGTTCCCACATAATGAATCCCAGGATCAAGGAGCTTCACTACCAATGGGACACAGGTGAAGTAGTTGTCTGCATAGATCTTGTAGTTCTGACCTTCTGGAAGCGTGGAGGCAAGCTTCATCACAACATCACCTGACAATCCAAGTTCAGACTTGGCTCGTATCCCATTGACACTGCCTTGGTACACATCAAAGTCACGTCCTCTGATTCCATCTCAAACTCACTTTCTCCGTTTTGGATGGCAGCAATCACATCCTGCACACTGAATCCAGGACCTCTCTTTGCTGGTGGCATTCTGAATGGAAAAAGTAATTAATACATAGTATCAATAACACATATGCTTATTATATTGTAATGGATTACCTGAAGAAAGATAGGGTGGTGGGACAAGTGTTCATTCTGTCTGGCTTAGCCTATTATCATACTAAAAGGAATGCATGCACCACCCCCTTCCAGGTGTCCCGATGCAACAAGTATCTGAGTCATATTTACATTGAATACTTGAGTCACACAATACTACCTATTTAGCCTATTATCATAATAAAAGGAATACCTACACCCACACATGCAGGTAAACCAGTTCAACAAGTCACACAATGCTGTCTGGCTCATGATAACAGGCTAATTATCATACTAAAAGGGATACATCCAAGTGTCCCAACACATTTCAGAAACTGTTTCTGCAGAACCAGAGAAGAGTTAAATGTATTTTTGTAACAAATTAACTGATAAGATACAAGCTGAGTTTAAAATATTGCTACAGATATAATTTCACATACTTTTATCAGAAATAATGTATTAATTTATTCAATTCTGGTCTTAATTCAAAATCTTAACAGAGGACACATTTAGAACTTAGTTATAGTGAATTATCAAATACATTATATTTCTATTAGTGTTTTATTTCCATATGTGAACATATAAGAAGGGCAATCTCCATGACAAGTGCTCATGCTATTTTGACTACCACACTGACCCAGTGTTGTAATATTACAACAAAGACATAAGCTGCTCAAAATCAAATTTGATGAATGTATTCCACAATAACTAAACATGTACATGTTCTACACATTGTAATAATCACAAAAAAAATATTTGAGGCATTTTACTTACTTGAATCCTATGAGTTACTGACTGCTGATTCTGAATGCAAACGGATAGTAAACAGTCGTTGACCTTCTTCGATCTCCTGGCACCACTCTCCTGTTCTTTTCTCCATGCCTAGTACATTGCTTTCCAGGATCTTAACATCACTTTCTTTGACTTTCTGTATTCTTTTACGCTGAACCTGCCATTTCTTCTCTTCACGCCCCAGTCCTCCATTTCATTTGCGTGCCCGTTCCTTCCTCCCCTCCTCTCTCTCTCCTTCTTCCCTCTCTCTCTTCCTCTCTCTGCCCTCCCTCCTCTTTCTCTTCCTCCTCCAGGGCCCTCCTTGCGCAAGGCCTCTGGGTGCTCGCAGCAGCCCTCTCGCGCGACATGCCTTCGGCCGACCCGCCGCGCGACTTTCTGGCTCCATGGCATCCTGTCGCCTCCTGCCTTGCTCTCTGCTCCATCCCGCGACCGTCGGCCTAAGCGTAAGAATAACCCGAGGCCTCTTCTCCCTGCATCTTCATCAACACTCCTTTATTTACCGCCCGCACCTTCTTACTCGCCTCAGAAATCTTCAGGTCGCTGCTCATTTTAATGTTGAGACTTTTTTTTTGCCGGGCTCACTTTCTAAATTGACATTCTATCTCACATCAACTTGTATTCACTGTACCCGTGGTTATTCCTGGTACTGCGTGGTCTATTCCATGTGCTTATCCTCTCGCTCTGTGACTTTACATGCTTTCTCACTGCTCTTGTCCTTCTTTCTGTCCGCTCTTGATCTGCTCTTGGCTTGACAAGGGCCCTAATAGAATACACTGGCTCTCGCGCAACACATTACACAGTGATTCTCGAACCCTCCTCGCTGCTCTTCTCACTGCCGCTAAGTAACTATGAGATTGCAGACTCCACACGCTCAATCATCTCTCGCTTTTGTGATAATTACGTTCTAATTTCTAACTGTTTAACTTTATGTCCTATTATCTTATAATACCCTGGCCACGAGGTTACGCACCTCTGCGGGACTCTCTCCTCCCCTGCAGTCTTCATCACATCCATTATTTAAATCCCACAAATGGTATTCTTCAATACAACGTGTATGACGGCTCATTGGATCATTTGATGCCCTAACCCCAAACAAACGTACTAGTGGTTTCTAACTAGAAACTATACGTTAATGAAGACTAAATAATGACGCAGTACTGCAAGTAAATCTAAGGAACATGCGTTTCCTCCAGATATCTAACGAATGCGTACTTTACATACTGTTGCAATTGCATCGCAAAGAAAAGACAATCACAACTCCTGACGTCTTGCTTCATCTATCTGGGGGTTCAAGTAATATGGAGTTTGGCTGTCTTGTGAATAAATCATTTCTTAATTTAATGTAGTGAACTGTATGATATTATCTTCTAAGACGATTGATTACATGCCAAGAAACTCATGATATGGTGACTTAGAAGCATGCTACGATGCATGCAATTAAACGGATGGTAGATTAAAAATACCTACAATACCGTCCTACAATTGCATTTGAACGTAAATAGAATTACTTAGTAAATGGTGATACTTTGCCTCTTACGTCCATTCATCTAGTCTACTCGGGACTCTTCTCATACATNNNGAAGATTCAGAAGTTGTTTGAGTGTATGGCCAGAGGGCAGGACCTATAAACACATTTAATACCCAATAGCATTGTGAGGCTGAACAAAATGACCTTTTGACTATGTAAATGTAGTCTTGAAAAAAAACTAGAACATTTACTGACTTTTTTAGGATAGTTTTAAGTAATGTTGTAAAATTACAACAGTGGGCCTTAAAGGGTTTTAAGAAATGAGCTGCCAACTAAATAAATGACACCCTCTGGAGAGCTGTGATAGAGGCTGATTTTTTCTTACAGCATTTTCAAGTATCAAGAATAATTTACGTACATTGGATTGACTTTTCCAACTTATAACTTAACTTATGAGGCAAAATACCTCTAGTGAGTGGCCCAGCCCTTCTTTTTCTGTATGTGGCCGGCCTCGGTGAAAAAAGTTTGGACACCCCTGGTTTATATATAAATTAGGTGAATAGTGTGTTACCCACTCCTGTACACGTGGTGGCAGTATGCATTTTACAGCTGTTTGCTATGCAGCTTTCAATCCAAGAGAAGAAGATGAAGATGAACTGTAGCGAACTCTAGCAAACCAAACCGGTCGTAGTGTCAGAAACATGGCGGCGTTCAGTAAATATGTGACAGGGAAAAACTCCTCCATAGCGGGCGGTATCCTGCTAGTTTTATACCTGCTGAAGCGCAGAAGAGGGACGCAGAAACGGAACGGGTGAGTAGGAGCAGTAAATAATGTTAGTGTTGGTTTTAAACGCAGAAATAGAGGTTTTCAGGTGAGTTTGTGGCGCGGTTGTCAGGATGCTAATTAGCAGCTGCTAGCCCCTCCATTCTGACAGGTGACCTGCCAGGGGAAAACTCCTGGATTGACTTCCATGTTTTTCAATGAGCAGTCGGCTCTTTCCTGCGCACTTTGGCCGCTTTGCTCACTGATCCGAGCGGCTCTAAAACCAGCACAACCGAGTCATTGTTCTGCAAAAACTCACTTTACAAGATTCCCATGCAAACACCCATTAACTGCCGATGTGTGTAACTTCGCATTACTTTGTTATTTCTCAATTATCACGTCTCTGTGTTGAGATTTAAAGGTTTCCTTTGTTATTCTTTGTCCTCACGTTGCTCTAAGAAGGGATTATGTCGCCCGGAGAGAATCGGTGCGCCAAAGTTCATTACTAAATATTAGTTTAAGTGTATCGTAGTAGAAAACGTTCCTGTTACAGTAAAAAAAAAAAAAGTTTAGAATTGTGATATGCAACCCTTTTCCGGCATAAAATATATTAAACACAACTTTTAAAAAAGAAAGAAAATGCCAGTAGAAATAGCCTGAGTTTAACAGAGGAATCCAGGATTGATCAAGGAGGCGTTCAATGACACAACTGTCCCTGAAGTTATGTAAAAACGATATGAACTTCAATGCAAGCATTAATAGAACTGGAAACAGACAGAGGAACTGGTTAAATGATCTGTTATGTTATACAAAATAAATAAAACATAGAACTACTTTTTCACTGTTTTTTGGTCTGAAATCGTCTACAGGGCAAAAGCTTATTCCTTACCAAACATACTAACATTGTACCTACTAGACATGGATCATTGTTGATGTAGTAAAGGGACACTGTGTTCCTGCATTAAGACTGAATCTACACACACACACACACACACACACACACACACACACACACACACACACACACACACACACACACACACACACACACACACACATTCCTTAACTCATTCACTTATTTTAGTACGTAATTAGATATTCATTTACACATTAAGTACAAATCTGGTTATACACATACAGTTGTGCAACTTCGTCACATTTGAAATTTGCTTTGCTTATCTCATTCGTCTCCTTGCTGCCTTTGTTGTTGCTACCTGTGGAAAAGTGTGAAAACATTTTCAGGGCTGTGTGTAGTTTCACTCACATGTGTTTGTGCCCTTTCAATGACGCTCACACACATATCGTCTGATTAATTATGTTTCTCTTTGCAGTAAAAAAGGAGGCTCAGAAGTAGTACAGAACGAGGTAGGTCTAAAACATTGTCATGTGTGTCTGGAAAAGTGTCCATACATTTTGTCATCAATGGCAACCTGTAGTTGTATCACAGCCCACCCTTTGTTATGTCTCTTCATTCAGAAAGATGGCAAAAAAGACCGAGCCGCTGTGGACAAAGTTTTCTTCGGCAGAATTTTCCAGATTCTGCGTATCATGGTACCCCAATTCTTCAGCATGGAGGTATGACATCGACCTGCTGTTCAGCTCGTAAAGTCTTTACCATAGATGTGTAAACCAATTCCACAAATGAAACACTAAAAACCCAACTGGTTTTCTTAGAAGCTTTTTAGCAAAATCAGAAAGTCCTAAATCTTGAACGGGCCTTTTTCTTTTCTCGCGTGACAGTCACGGTTTGTCCATTGCACGCTGTTTGCCTCAGGGATTTTACTTTTGGGATGTGAGATGAATCCACAAAATAGAGCAGGTGATTTCAGATGAGATTTGTTGTTATAATGCCGGAAGCTTCACCTTCAAGCCTACCTAGAAGTTAGATTTTTAAAACATTTTATACGATGCTAGGGTAAATACGAATTTAGAAAACCTTTATTAGTCCCAAAGCGGGGACATTTACATTGTGACAGCAAAGGGGACATATTTGACTGAACTAAATATCAAACGTACAGATGCAAGATATCAAATAAGTAGCAGCATTATAATAGATAGTGATAACAAAAAGTGGTGCACTAGCAGCCACTAGTAGCATTTTTCTAATTTGGCGAGAGTTCAACATCAATCCAAGTGTCATTATGACTGGTGCACCTTTGGCACACATATATATCGGCTCCATAAGTCAAGGCCACCGCCACATGTTTCCCCTGGTCCAGTCTTATCCGATCAGTTCAGCAGATATGAGCGGAGTGAAGTGCAGCACGATTAAGGGTTTTGTGATGTACGGGGTTTACCAACTATTATCTGTGCTTGTTGTCTTCCCCAAAGACTGGCTACCTCGCCTTAATCGCCGCCATGTTGGTGGCCAGGACCTACTGTGACGTGTGGATGATCCAGAACGGCACCATGATCGAAAGGTCTGACTCTTATTACAAGTTTGAAACAGAGATTTTACAATTCAGTACCATAAAAACATATTGGGTATATCATGTTGTCACTGTCTAGATTCTAGAAGCTATGTGAATGTTAAATAAATCCACAGCTGAGTGACAGGAGAAATATAAGCAGTTTATCTCCTTAATTCCCATTGTAAAGTGTTTAAAAAGCTATTGTTCATATATTTCCATAGCTTTTTCTGTACAGTGGTTCAGGAATGAACCCGGAAATCTGTTAGCTTATTACCATTTCAGGTTCCCTCGTCTCAAAGTCGATGGTTTTTTGAACTTTTCCATTTTGGCTAGAAGCCTGAAATAAGGTCTGTGGTTAACACAAGCTGAAGATATTATCAAATGCTCTTGTACGACATTAGTAAATACCCCACTGGTGAATTTAAAAATGGTGATTGTTAACAAATGAAACTACGTGCGTAATCATGCCAAACATTTGCCATCTTTAGCTTAGCGGTGGTGTGAAGTCATGTGACCAGCTTGTTTATAGCCTAACCTTAGCTTTTACTTCTTGCAGTTGCATTTACAAAAAACAAAGTGGTGTTAAGTATCATAAATGTGTGTTTGCCACAGAGCTTATTTTCTGAAATATTCAAACATCCAATGGTAACATCCCACTAGCCTTTAGTTGAAGGAACGTTGCTTACTTCCTGGTCAGCCTACAAACATACATCCTTACCCCCCCTCTATTGCAGGAGCTGATAACTTTGTTTTGCTTCTCCACAGCGGTATTATAAGCAGAGACAGCGCTCTGTTCAAGAAGCACTTTTATTCCTACATTAAAGTCATACCCGCGGTAAACACAACATGTACTTTGTAGAAGTGCTGTTTTTGCTTTGTAAGAGTGTTGTGTTGTGCTTCCCCATCACTCACTGTCTGAGGGCTTCATTTCCCTTCAAGCCATAACACTCGCCCCCCCCCCTGTGGATTATTAATGCATTTAGCATACAGTAGCTTTCTCATGGAGTTCCATTCACTTTGTGTGTTCGGTATTTTAACAAACTGAATATATCTGTAACAGGACAGATGAGTAACCAAATCAGGAATAACTTAAATATTAAATAATGATTGCTAATTGGAGAATCCCTTCTGTCTATTACAAATGCCTTCCTAGCAGAATACAGAATATATATCATTAATCGATTCCAAGTCTAAAACAGACTTTATATCAATTAATTTGAAAAAGTTGTATAATTTGGACTTTTTCTCACAATAAATGAATATTCTCTTTACTATAATATTATTTTCACAGCTGACAATTTACTGATTTAATGAGAAGGGTTCATGTAAGAGGATTTTTGACCCCACAGCTGTCCTCACTATGGTCCAAAAAGTGAATATGCACAGAACTAGCATGAACTGAATGGTATTCCTGAGCTCTCCGGTGTCAGGACTCCACTGTTATTTTATTTTTATTTATTTTTTTGAAGCGGTCCAGCAGAGCAGCTTTGTTCAAAAAGCAGAGTGAAGTGTATCGGGCCCGGTGTTTGTCCCTCTGACCCTCCTGTTTGCTCATCTCTGTGCATGTTGTGGTTGCAGTGCCATTATCGGCCGCTCGCCAAAAGAGTTCAAGACCTACTTGTTCAACTTTATCAAATTCATGCCAGCTGTAAGTTTTGTTTAACTTGTCACACTCCTAAGGGCGATCTTAATTTCTATATATATAATTATTTTCATACTGTTGCACATTTTTGGCAGTTTAATTTTTTCACAGAGGAGACCTGACATGGCAAACACTGACATTTCTGTCTTCCTGTGTATTCACTAACTTCCTGGTGATTATCTCATTCAATCATTTCACACACTAAAAAAACCCCTGTCATTTTGCATGATCATTAATTTGATTTAAACGTGAGCAAATATACCTTTCCCCTCAATGTTAAGTGAAAAGGCTGGCTGTATTCTATATATTTTTAACTGTCAACAAACATCATGATGTCAATGATTTTAGATGGTCTCGTAATACTTTTTAACTTCCATATTTATTATATATTTCTGAGCACTATGCCTTTAGCTCTTAAAACATTATTGTTTTGCATTTTTCCAGTTTTTATTTCTTAAATGGAAGTCACTTCTCAAAAAGGAGGTATTTGCTGGGATGAGACTTTAGATACAAATACAATACTTTAATCAGATTTGTTGATATTTAGAAAAATATAGATTATCTCCAGCCGAATTCTTTAAATTGTGAGTTTGCTCATAATAATACTAATATTCTGGTTTTGCATGTTTCCTTCATTCCCTATGCTCTGCTTCTAATTAAATATATATAAAAGCTATCAGCATGAACAGTATAGACCCTGTCCCAGCTGTGCTTTAGCCAACAGCTCACAATGAGAGATGGATACACGTGTGTTTTGTGTGACTGGCTCATTTCAGATAGCCTTGGTGAACAACTTCCTGAAGTTGGGTCTATTCGAGCTGAAGCTGAGGTTCCGCGAAAGGCTCACCAAGAACTTATACGACCAGTACCTGCAGTAAGTACTGAGGAAACACGGAGATCTTTTACGTCATGCATCAGAGAATATTCTCTGGTTCCATGTAGTAGATAAACCACACATTTAACCCTCCTTTCAGACAGTCAGATTGGCCCTGAAGTTTTATCAGTCAAATGCAATTTAGTAGATAACTGCAGTATGATGCCATATTCTATAGGTGGTGCAAGAAGGGACAAGCAGGCATTATAATAAACCTTGCCTCATGTTTTTGACCTTTCACACACATCTGGAGGTTATGTGGCTGGCCTGCTGTTATGTCACTAGTGTACGTTGTGCTTTCTCTGACTGCTGACCTTGTTTTCTGTCTCTTCAGGGGCTTCACCTACTACAAAATGGGAAACCTGGACAACCGGATAGCCAATCCAGACCAGCTGCTGACACAGGACGTGGAGAAGTTCTGCAACAGTGTGGTGGACCTTTACTCAAACCTCAGCAAGGTACCACGCTGTGCTAATGATCTAAGTCTTCATTCATGTTACACATTTGTAAGACCCCCCCCCCCCCCCCCCCCTACACACCTGGTGACACAGTTACTGACATTTTACAACTATCCATCCTGGTTGTTTATTCTACAGTTTACTCAAATGTACTCACATACATAGTGTGTATACTGGTCTATAGCTTATTCATATTTATACTACTGTCTATAGCATCTATATTATACAGTCTATACCTCTAGTGTATTCATATGTTATGCTAATGTTCAGAGTTTTGCTACGTATTAATACTGGTCATCCTCTATATACCTTAACTTTTCATATGTCATATTTATACAAACTGTGAAAGTGCACCAGGTTTCATGCTTTTTAAGAAAAAGTGAACATCAGTTTCACATCTCTTGGACTCCTGGACATTTCAGATGTTTTTGTTAGAATGACCTTTTCTCCATATGTCCATCAAAGACACATTCAACTCCCACTATCAGGGGTATATTTGCACATTAGATATTTACTGAAGCTCCATCGAGGTTACATGGAGGCATTGACCATACCTTCCTGTGGCATTGAGGGCATTGTACCAGATCAACCCTGCAGACACTAAACTGAATGCAGGTTGGAAGTCCTTGAGCAACTCATGCATGATGATGATGATGATGATGATGATGATGATGATGATACCCCATGAATGAGAGGCATAAAGTTGTAGGAAAATATGTCGGTATTATTTTTAAACCTTCTGTCCGTCCTGCAGCCTCTGTTGGATATCTGTCTGTACATCTACAAGCTGACAACTGCCATCGGGGCTCAGGTAAGCGTGTTAAAACATCCAATCTAACCTTGTTGTACTGCTAAACAGGAAGTTGTTTCCACCTCCCTTCCCTCCTTTAGTTTAAATGATTAGATTATTAAATTATTGTTAATTTCTTTCTTTTGAGTCAACCTGATCCTATTAGTTTATTGTGAAATATCTAGATGTTGTTTTGCACATGTGAATTACATTTTGTAATTCTCTCCGCAGGGCCCAACAGTGATGATGACCTACCTGCTGGTCTCAGGCATGTTCCTGACCCGAATGAGGCGGCCGATGGGAAAGATGACGGTCACGGAGCAGCGGTACGAAGGAGAGTACCGCTTCGTCAACTCTCGCCTCATCACTAACAGGTAAACACATTAACAACTACGCAAACCCAATAACTGTACAGCTGTTAGCTTCGACGCTACAGTGAGATGTCCTTCCTCTCTGCAGTGAGGAGATCGCCTTCTACAACGGGAACGAGAGGGAGAAGCAGACCATTCACAGCACTTTCAAGAAACTGGTGAGTAACACTTTGTTTCTTTTATCATTCATGCTCGATTCAGGCACTAGCTTCCATTTCCACTTTGGATGTTTGAGTCCGTGTTTAGAAAAAAGTCCTTGTTTATTTTCCCCGACTTTAGAATATTGACCATTTTTATATTTTCTTCCAGGTGGACCACTTGCATAACTTTATCTTCTTCCGCTTCTCCATGGGATTTGTGGACAGCATGATTGCCAAGTGTAAGCAGAAATATCTCATGGAGATTAAGTCACTGTGAAAAGACAGCAACAGTGAATCAGATTCATATGAAGAGATGATGAAGAAAAAGACAATATATTTAAAACAATTGTTTGTAGTTCATTTTTAAAAGTGCAGTTATCATTAAGGGGTCATGAAAATCACAATTTGTTCATGGCTCTGAAAATGAGCACAATATGTGTCCTTCAATCGGTTTATATGTATATCTATATATATATTTCTACATGCTGTTCTCTCCCTCAGATCTGGCCACTGTTGTGGGCTACCTGGTGGTGAGCCGTCCATTCCTCACCCCGGGACACTCCCGACATCTGACCAGCACACACTCTGAGCTGCTGGAGGTCAGAGAAAACACTCACACTCACACTCACTCACTCACACTAGTAAAATAATGCACATTGACTTGCTATTCACATAGTTATCAGTGGCAATATATTGATATTTTGTGACAAGCAAACATGTAAATGGACTGTACTTATATAGCGCTTTATCCAGTCTTTAAGACCCCTCAAAGCGCTGTACATACGACATGTCTTCACCCATTCACCCATTCACACAGAGCAGTGTACCTTACTCTAGGACCTAACATTCACACACCGGTGGCCATGCCTTCAGGAGCAACTCAGGGTTAAGTATCTTGCTCAAGGATACATCAACATGTTGACTGCATGGGCTGGGATCGAACCCACAACCTTCTGGTTGAAAGACGACGCACTCCCTCGCAGCCACAGTCGCCCTGTGGAGAGTAATGCTGTGATAGATGAGTGGCTTTACATGGCAATACTTGTCTAACCAGTCAGTTCATCCAGCTGCATAAACACACTTTAATGAAGTAGACAATAATACAAAGCCTTATCAAATGATGCAGAAACACTCCCGAGCAGAACAACACATATATAGATGTATTAGATAGGCTTTAATACATTCATATTTGGTGTAACGTGCTGCTGTTGGACCTCTGTAGGATTACTACCAGAGCGGCAGGATGCTCCTCAGACTGTCCCAGGCTCTGGGCAGGATCGTACTGGCCGGCCGAGAGATGACCCGCCTCTCAGGGTGAGTGTGAACGGAACAAAAGAAGAGGATTAAAAAAAAAAAACATGAGAACAACCACAAAAAAAAGTCTTGCCTCATAGATGTGTTATTATCTGAACATCAAGTTTTATTTATATAGCACATTTTTTAAATGATTTTTGGTCGAGCCAAAGTGCTGTACAAACACTTTACAACAAATACAACAGCACATGTAAAAAATCACACACAGGGAAATGTCAGGAGTCGTGCTCCGCTCTGACTAAAAGGCCAGGGAGAAGAAGTGTGTTTTAAGAGTAGATTAAAAAAAAACCTAGGGTCTGGGCCGACCTCAGATGGAGGGGCAGAGTGTTCCAGAGCCTAGGGCCAGCTGCCGCGAAGGCTCGGTGCCCTTCGAGATAAGATTGACATTTGTCTATCTATAAATCACCTTGTGTTACCTTGAATTCGTAAGGAAAACATTGCTTGACCCCCACTACAAGTAGTTTGGAATCATTATTCACCATGGAGGCATGCTAAATAAAAGAAAGATTACAAATTCAAGGAAACATGGCTTGAGTTATTAATGAACATATTTTAATTTTGTGGTTCAAATATTCCTTTAAATTGACCAAGATAATCCTCCAGCAACAGTGAAATAACATGCATACACTTAAAAATGAACCATGATCACATGTTAGATTCTCGAAGCCTTGAAAGAACTGACTCAATGGTCATTTACATTTTTATCAGACGTCACAACATGACTGAGATTAACGCACAATGGCTGGCCATTCAATCTTCTTCTGTGCTTATATCCTGTCCATCAGTTATAAAGTATATTCAGCTGTGATGTTTCTTGAGGAGTTCTCTGCAGGTCACCGCCAATAGAATAATTTGAGACGTGGAGGAACATACTTTGTATTTTGTAGCCGACTCAACTTCTTGTGAAGCATAAAGCATATTCTGCCTCAATCTAAGGGCTCAAATCACAAGGTTTGCAGATAGTTAGAGAAACCATTGAGAATTATTTTTTGAATGCTTCTTACTTTAGTCTCCTTGGGCAAAATGATCTTGCATTGGGATGCAAGATCATTGAAGTAACTGCTGATGAGCTGCAGTGAATACAAAGCTATATGGTTTCCCTTTCTTCTGGAAACAATAAGTCATATTTATGAGGATCATAAAGACAATGTGATGAGAGTAACAGCAGGGCCACTCCGCTAAAAGCTCTTCAGCTGTACCTGTATGGTTTCATTCCACACTGCATGGAAACACACCAGCATTGGCTATTGTAATTAGCTTTTGGCAATCAACTCAAGATTATCTGCTTAATGACTGAGAACAACAAATGGAATCCATCCTACTGGTGGAAGCGCTTCAAACACACAACGTCATTAAGAAGCCTGCTTCACACTTCGAATTAGCATGAAACAGCTCGAAGATAATTAAGTTGAGGTGGAGGTTAAGCTTACAGGAGATTTCTGAACAAATAATCACAGTCGCTCATTAATGAGGCATAAACAATCATCCAAAGTTGAATATGCTTTTTAAGATACTATTCATGCTTGAGAGGTCTACTTGCTTTCAGCTAATATGATCATTCAAATTCAATCAAAGACTCAATCTAAGGTAAAATCCTATTCTCTCTATTGTGAGTGGACGCTATGCAAGGGAAGTTTATTTATATAGCACCTTTCAACACAAGGCAATTCAAAGTGCTTTACAAAAATGAAAGACATTAAGAGTAATAAGAAATAGTGCAGTTGAAACACATTATGAAATGGCATTTTAAAAAAGTCATTAAAAAGCAAAGATAATAGAATAAACATAAAAAATACTAGAATATCAGTCTTTGCCCTTTAAACCATTGTTCTTTTCAATTCCCAGAATTAGGATATTTAACCCTGTTTTAAGATTTTCCCGCATTAATCTTTGGCCTTTAAACCTTTTTAAAACGCTACTCTATTTCCACCTGATGAACTAGAACTACTGCCTGCTGTCTTGGATCCAATGACAACAAGTTAAAGAGTCATGCATACACTTCACAATCAAGTATTATGTATATGAAGACAGCTCTACAACCTTGTGAGGAGTTGTGTCAAAAACCAACCATGACTTGCATGATCACAATCAGGTGCCACTCACAAGTAATCTGCATGTGTATAGTATAATAATAAAGCCACCATTTTTGCTGTGTGTGTGTGAGACAGCTGAGGGCACCTTGTTATTATGGTTTAAACAAAGGTGGAAGAGGATGTGTGCCCCCTCAGGACCTTGAAGTAGATGGGAGGAGAGACAGTGAGGGAGGGTGTGGTAGATATTAAGAGATAGATTTGGTGACAGGGTAAAGGCAGAGAGTGTGTGAGAAAGAACACAGCCTTATTTGCATTCACTACAGACTGACAACGGCGGCACACACCAAACCAAGATCACCACGACCACCCCCACCTCCACCAGCATGCCCCAGGGAGCTGCTGCTGCTATCGCCAACAAAGAAAAAACACATCCTCTGCTGATGAGCAAGCATGTTTTTATTAAACTAACACAGAGGGAGAGGGAGACAGATGAGAGACAGAGGGAGGGAGTGTATGGGTGGGGAATTTTGTTTTCATAATGCTGAGGACATGAGCTCCTTTGGTAGCCGACCATCTGGATGTCTGGATCCAGGTTTTAAAATGGTATCATTGTTGGTGTCCATAAATTCCCTCCTGTTCTGTCACATGCACTTGAAATTGAGCACATAATCACATTAACAGATACAGGATCTTTATTAGAAATTATGTCTGCATTATCATTGTGTGAATATGTCTCCTAAGGTCTGATTCAAATGTATTCATACATATTGATTTCTGTTATATGTTGTAAAATAGAATTAGAATATTTACCCCCAATATAAAATATTTATATATAATATTTAATGATCTTTTGTGGCCATCCTGACCTTCTTGAACTTGTTTTGTCATAAAGGAAGAGGGAGGGTTAAGGAAATATGTAGTTGGACCAGGACATGACAAACGTTGATATGGAAGTGGTGGAAGAAGTAAAGAGGCAACCATTTTAAGATAACACATTACAAGTAAAGGTTGTTCAATTTCATAAAACGATGTCATTTCACAAAAAAGTCATCATCTTGCAGAAACTGGCCCCTTTGACTCGTATATAAAAGTACTTTCCATTGAAATCATTAATACTGAGGTATCGATGCATAATCAGCATTTTAGATTGACTTTGCTTAAAGATAGGGTTAATTTAGTCCCCTGTTCTTCAACCTGTTGGTCAGGTTGCATCTAAAGTGTAAAAATATAAATCTTATAGGGTGAATAAAGAAAGAAAAAATTCTAAGTTCTGCTTCACAGAATTTAAACAATCTATCAAAACCATCTTTTGTGTTATATATTTGCTAATTGCTCAATAGCTCGACATCTGCCATGTGACAATGGTCCCCATTAAGAGCTTTCTTTGAAGCAAAAACATGCAAAAATAATGTTGGAAACTACTAATTTAATCTTAAACAACATATTTTTTTGATGTGTTATGACAAATCAAATAATCCCAAATAACTAATGACTATAGCTATTGAATAAATGTAAGGCAGTACAAAAATACTGCGAGGGTATGTAGCCAAGAGAACCAGGATGCACCTCCCCCTCTCAAATTCTTCCTTTCCATTTTGATAAACATTTTCCAGATATTTGGCTGATGTCAAATCATTTCATGCAATAAGGTTAAGTTGGGTTGAATTTTCAACTAAAACATGTCCTCATTTCCCCTCACAAACTTTAGAACCCTGCTTTACCAGGTTAAACAGTGTGATTCAAGGTATTAAGGTAAAAAGGAGGCTTGTGACTTCTCGACAGGAAGGCATTAAGTAAGTCTTGGCCCTGACACCCAGTGGGTTGAGGTGTCAGTGGATCCTCCCATTCTGCAGGCTCCTGCTGGGCTACAGCATCCATCCACTGCAGTAATTAAACACAGCCCACAAGTACACACAGTCACACACACAAATACTAATTGCAGACAGGAGGCATCCTACTCATTATAGGCCAAATTAAAGCAATCAATTGAAAGTGGAGACCAGCAGAGAGGAATTCATTCCTGTGGGTCTGCTCTCCTCTTTAAAGAATGCACAGGCTGTGTCAGCTGTATAACTGGATAAACCGTTGCCTATTGACCAGAGTATGTCGCACAATCAGTCTGCTAATCACCTATACAGTCAGGCAATGGCATGCACTTAAAAACAAATTTTAGCTGTTCTATGTTGCATATGAAACTCTTCAACCCTTTATGACAGAGTTATGTTCTTCTTAGAGCCAACAAAAAATGTCTAGGCTTCCACAAGTGGCTACATAGCTGCACACATCTGTAATGCATTTCCTAGTCCTGTGCCTCTTAGTTTCTTCCCCTCTTTTCTTGGTTTTGCGTTCTCCAACATAAGCACACACCAGAGGGATGAAAGCATCAAACATGGGGGAAAAAAAGAAATGTGGCAGGTAAGGTAGTGTTTTGTGTCCGTCGCTGAGAAAATGAACATATCTGCCAAAATCAGTCTCTACACAAGCCCGCTTAAGGGAGGGCTGGAGTGTGAGTATATCCAATTCCAACATTCCCGGTGTTTTTACAAACACATCATGCTTGTGTCACCAGGGAGCCCCCCCCCCCATCCTCCTCCCCTCTCTTCCCCACCAGCCGGGCCAACTGTTGCTCCATCTCCGGGGCAGATTAGGGGAAGTGCTGGCTCCTGAAGAATGCAGTCCTGCTGCTGCCGCCGCCACTCTCAGCTCAGGATTCATTAGGACTGGCATGGCGGCCCAGGCTTCTGGCCTCTGCTGAGATACAACATGCCATCAATATAAAACATCATGGTGCCTCCTAAGGACAGTCAGCCTTTTTTCCCCCTGTGTTTGAGGTCATTAGAATTCCTTCTTCTAACAGCCTTCTCAACTCTGAAAGCCATTGGTGGTTGTTAAATGGATAGGAAATTGTGAAATGTATTTAATAGAACGTTAAAAAAAGGCATGACAACAGACAGAGGATGTATTTGGATACCTCGCTTGAGTAAAATTACTAATAACAATCCGTTTGTTTTGGCTATCCGGCAGTAAAACCTCATTGTTATAGGCTACATGTAATTCAAAAGGAGAGCAGCAAAACTTCACATGTGATGGTGGAATCATGAAATGTTTTGGCTAAAAAATGACAAACAAAGTAGTTTTAGCCATTAATATACATATAATTTCAGCTGTACTGAAATCTAGTTGCGAAGTATACTAGAAAACACTAAAAGCTATTTCCCAATAAAGGTGGATTGTTTATAGCTGGATGCTCCACTGTGTCTCTGGTCACAATGACATTAAACAAATGTCATGGACATTAAGCAGACCGTCGCATGTGAACATTTAAATGGACACTGTGTTATATAGTCTGAGCAGCAATAACAAAACAATTACACCACAACAGCAACAAGATGTGGGCAGCGATGTGTATCCATGGTGAGTGGCTAGGAGCCTCCAAAACTAATGCAATGGCCTAGATCCAGGCTGCACACATCGATCAGATTGACAATTGAGAGGCCGTGTCGTGGCCGATAGGGTTGTTTTTTTTTCTTTTTCTACAGCGACTAGGCAGAAGCCCATCTATTAAGATGAAAGGGAAAAGGACGACGACTGTGGAGCCGTTCCAGCAACATTGTAAAAAACGAGTCTGAATGGCTACCAGGCCTGAAGAGGAGGACTGGGAGGGAATAGGGCATATTGTGAATAAGCAGAGGCACACAGAGGTTACAGAGGAACCATTCTTTTCACCTTGGTAGCCCCCGGTGAGCTGTGAAGATGTGAAAACAGCACAGCACGACAATAAGGGGAGTAAATAACACAAAATAAGAATTTGACCTCATCACATTTTCAGGTTTGTGCTACAGAAATGTATGCAAATCAGCACATATTTACTTAGATATTTCAGAGAAAACATTTAAGCAAGTAATCAACCGAAGACTTTTCATGATGAAACTATGGGCCTTGGTTACTGTTACATATCAATTAACAGCTCAAAATATACAAATAATTTACACTCATTATGAAGCAGTGGGAATTGTACTGTGCTATGGAAAGAAACATTCATCTGTGCTTCCTTTCATCACTTATCATAGAGCGCCACCTGCTGGATGTTAAGGAAAATGGTGACCAAATAAACTGGTGTGAAGTATCAGAGAAAGATCTGTCCTTCAGTGTCTTTGAAGCTCTGCAGCTCTGTCTTTATGATGCATACATTATCAGTAGAAGGCCTGAGGTGATATGTAATGTCACCGCACACAGTGACACTGGCTTTTATGTCTGTGTGGAAAGCTATAAAATCTCTTTATGCGAGTTAGGCCTACTAGACACCATTGCTGTATATGAGCTAATTTATAGTGCAAGTTAGATCAATGTTAGACTTCCCCGTTAATACTGGTTATATATAGAATACATTGTCATCATCATTAATTATAGGTAAAGGCTAAACATTAACAAATGTAAATAACTGCAGAATATTTAATTGGGTAAAAACCTGTGGAGAATTTTGGAAATGATTACAACTATCTCTTTTTTTTTTTTTTTTACTTTTAGACTCTGCAATGCTCTGGATTTATTTGAAATATGTGGATCAAACAAGTCAGAAGCAATCCAAAGCTGCCACCACTGGAATCTAATACTACAAATACTTATAATCTTTATCTACATATTAGCAAACATACTCTATTTAAACACGATAAAAAAATGCAAAATTAAAACAGGATTCATATGTTGATTTAGAATTTCAACATTATAAAAATAACCAATTAAATATTTGGTATATTTTTAACATGTGCAACTGTTACTAACTGGGGTCACTCTTAGATAATTGGTCATTCAATTTTTTCCCAAAAATTCAGTAGATTTTTCAGACCATATTTGAATTTCCTTAATTGATCTAATTTTAACTAATGTTCCCCATAAATACTCATCTGTGGGAGTATTTGCAAATGATGTGAGTGACCACTATGCTGTAGCAACAATTAGGGACACAAAGGTCCAAAAGGGTAAACCTCGCATTATAATAAAAAGAGTCACAAAACATTTTGTGGAGCAGGGTTTTGTTCATGATCTGTTTGGCTTTGATTGGGGTAATATCGATCAGTGTGCTGATGTTGAAACTGCATGGTCTTATTTTGATGTTGGTTTTATGGAAATTATAGATAGACATGCACCCCTGCGTACATTTAGAGTTAAGGAACGAGACAATCCTTGGTTTTCTGCTGAATTATCTAGTCTCCTACATGAGAGAAACAAGGCCTGGGCAAAGGCTAGGCAATCAGGCTCAGAGGTAGAATGGTTTCTTTTTTGGAAGCAAGGAATAGCTTCACATCGCAAATCAAAAGTGCTAAGCCTAAATATTATCTATCAATTACCACAAAAAAACGGAATAATCCTAGAAAATGTTGGAAAGCCATAAAATCGATATCCACCGGTGAAATCCGTAATGAGCTACCTCCTTGCCTTACCACAGCATCTGGCACTATATCGGACAGGGCCACTATGTTAAATTGTTTTAATGAGCATTTTGTGTCCTGTGGCTCTCTGTTTGATTCTTTTACTAACTCTGCTTCTGTAATCATACCGAAGCAGACTCTGAACAATGTGATTTGGAAAACCCTTTTAGTTTTTCTCCTTTTANTTAAACAAAATGCCTCTTGAGGGCATGAAGTGACAACAACTTTCAACATGTCTGTAACATGTCATTAAACCCCATTGTAAATTCAACCTCATCTTTCCCCACCACAGCAACCTCCTCTCACTGATTACTGCACATCACCATGGAAACCTTTGATCTCTGGACACGTCGTTAGCTCAAATATAAACACCTGTGTCATGGAACACGATGATATCATAACTCCAACTGACATGCTCAGAGCAGCAGACTTCAGATAATGGTTAACACAGCTCTACATCAAATCTGATGTTACGTAATGTGGTGTTACTATGGCAACTCATCTTTCGCCATAAAACAGCAACAGACTTCAGATAATGGTTAATGGTCTGGCCCTCAACAGCTCTATGTCAATTATGGGGTGTCATCATATGCCGTTTCCATGGAAACGCATCCCTCGCCATGAAACACGATGTCGCTGTAACTCCAATGGACACGGTCCGATCGTCCCCAAACTTCGCTTGTATACCACCGGTCCATGCCTCAACAGCTCTACGCCAAATCTGAGATCTCACCATAGGCTGTTTCCATGGAAACGCATCCCTCGCCAAAAAACACGATGTTGTCGTAACTGATATGAAAATGGTCAAAACACCACCAAACTTCAGATGACAGTTAATGGTCCAGCCCTCAACATGTCTATGTGCCATTAGTGAGTCTTCCTCAAAAGCTGTTGCCATGGCAACTCATCCCTTGCAATAAAACACGATATTGCTATAACTCCTATGAAAATTGCCAAAGTGCTAAAACTTCACATATGTGCTAACAGTCCAGCCGTGAAGACATCTACGCGACAGTTTTGAGATTTCTTCCAATGCCGTTGCCATGGCAACACAATGCTCGCTATGAAACACGGTTTTCTCATAACTGAAAATGCTCAAAACATCCCAAAACTTGACAGGTTTGGTAACGATGCAGCCATCAACATATCTAAGCGTATTATGGGGTGTCATCAAATACGGTAGCCATGGCGACAGATCATTTGCCATCAAGTTAGTTCAATAGTTTGCTGTTGAAATATTCTGGTGCTTTTTTACTTTCTTTTCTTCTCTCATCACACATTCAAGCCCCCAGTGTTCATATATCATTTCAATCTAAATTCTTCACTTTCTTCTTACACATTACATTTCAGCATAGCAATTCAGCGTCAGCTTTTCAGCATAAAGCATTCCCACTAGCAATTTCTTCAGGAATTGCTAGTTGTCTAAGATACCCGCGATATCATTCACTACTTAGTTTCATTGTCGCAGTGATGGTGCTATGTTGCTTTCTGAAACCTGACTGATGTTTACATAGGATGTCATTATTACATAAAAACTCCTTTACCTGTTCACTCACTAGGCGTTCAATAACATTTGCCAGAACTGGCAATTTAGAGATGGGTCTATAAGTATTGAATAAGGTGGCCTCCCCTCTTTTTAGTAAAGGCAGGACATAAGCTGACTGAGGTGCAATAAAATCTGCAGCTATCTTTAAAAAGAAAGGTTCTACGTTGTCCGGGCCAGCTGGTTTGAACAACATCAATAGTAAAAGGAGAAAAACTAAAAGGGTTTTCCAAATCACATTGTTCAGAGTCTGCTTCGGTATGATTACAGAAGCAGAGTTAGTAAAAGAATCAAACANAAGCCCATCATACCTTTAGTTAATTTGCCAAAAAGGCCACATTATTGACCCGAAAGTACACAAAAAGCACACTTCAGATACTCAAGCATCTCAAGGACCTTGAGTATCTGAAGTGTGCTTTTTGTGTACTTTCGGGTCAATAATGTGGCCTTTTTGGCAAATTAACTAAAGGTATGATGGGCTTTAATGGAGACACGCTAAAAGTTTTTGTCACTTCATGCCCTCAAGAGGCATTTTGTTGAATTATTTTTGCTTAATTATTTGTCATTTTTCAAGCTACGAGATGTATTCCTACGTTTGTCATGAAAAATTACTATGTCTCAGGAATGTAGGGTTTGGGAATTATGGCAGG